CGAGAACTGAAAAAGCATTTAAATGATGAAAGAAGACCTTTAGTATCTCATTAGCTTTGTTTTCATCTTCTCCAGATTTCACTAACATCCAAAAGCATGTATTGTATTGGTTCCTGTTGTGACCTGCAAATTAGCGTGTAGAACAAATCAGCTCATTTTCTTCTTATGGTTCGTTCTAACTACTAGAAGAATCAACACCCTGCAACAGGGTATCGTTGAATAAAAAGATACTTGGACACTGATAAGTATTCATCACAGCATAGAGCTATACAAAGTTACAAACACCAAATTTAATACATTCATACTGCTGCAGACAACATACGAATTCACATATTTCATGCTGAACTATTATCGACAAGTCCATTGACATTTTCGGTTAGTTAAAGATATGCTATGTTAGGAGGAATAACTCACATTCTGCTTGCCTCCAGGACAAATAATCACAAACGATCTTTGGTTTTGGGTAACAGAGAACTTCTGCTTCAAATTTAGGTGGCTGCACTAATTCTTTACTGGGGAAATATTCTTTCCACTTCATTGTGTAAAAGGAAGTGAAACATGATGAACATGAAGAAAGGATTAATCTGCAAAAGAAGTTGCATAATTTATCAAAGACTTGACCAGTTGAAAAGCACACACTGCAGGAATTCTGAAACTAATAACTACCTCTCATTTCTCTGGTACAATTCAGTGTTCTCCTGGAACACAAAGCTGCAACAATAAAAAATAATTAAATGATTTGCAGCAAATTTTCAGGTTTGCCATCAAACAAACCAAAAAACACCCATCTAAACTTAAGTGCATCATATTTAAGCTTTTTTTGGATGGTTCACTTCGCTTACAGTTTTAACATGATCCTTATATTGCCAATGTATTCAATTCAAATCACTTCTGCTGACAGAAGGAGGAAAAATTGTGCTATGCGGAAACAAATATTCTTGTTTTCTCTGTATTTTCCATAGTTCTCTCCATGCAACAATAGATATGTTGCACGGGCATATCATACCTGTACTCGTTGCTAAAGCCATAACCAAAGATAATATCAGGGAATTGCTCCATCATCAAAGAAGCAGAAGCGTTCATCAAACTTAAAGCAGTCTCATCATTTGGCTTGTCAAATGAATGGATCAGCGAGAATCTAGGGGAAAATTTTGAATTCTCCTTGTTAGTAAGACAACATAAGTATCTAAATGTATTGCCGCATGTATTTAGCAATGTATTTAAATATGAAAGTAGGGTCCTCACTGGTCGAATTGGCAGGCGCTGATACGAACAACGATCCAATTACAACATGGAAGCCTGCGGATGTCGTCAAACTTCTTCACATACTCGTATCTATATTTTCCTTTTTCCCCGACACACAATTAGACTGGTGATGTATATATCCAAAGTTGACAGGAGCTTTAGGTAAGCTTCCAGTCCAGCTAAAATAAAAGTTGACAGGAGCTGGACTGGAAGCATACCTATAACTAGAATGATTCAACTAACCTTCTTGAAGAATGTATTGATGTTTTTCCCAAAACTCAGGTCCTATGATATCTAGATTTGACACTGTAATTGCCAGCCGGATTCTTTTTATGGGATTCCCGTAGTCGTCTGTTTTCACCTTTGTTTCTACCTACAGAAACATGTAGAACCCTAACATTAGTCAACAATCAGACCCACAAAAGAAATGCAGTATAGGTCTGCACACTTGATTGGTCATCACAACCATTGATCAATATCAGACAAGGAAATGGCATTAAATGGCAACTAAGGTGCTTCAATTATCCATACAAACTAAAGTACAGCAAGAATGTGTATATGCAAAATAAAACCAGAAGAGAAATCAGAAATGCAAGAATATCTCCGGCACAAAATATGACTAGAAGCTATCATGGTCATTTGTATGTATCATGCAAATAATGTTTTCTGTGATGTAAATCTTCACTGAGAATAAGCACGAACGTCAATAATAATGAACTTTTGAATGCTTGAGAGTGTTACCTTATCTCGATAAACACTTGATCCTTTCCGGAACATAGCCGGTTCATCCTCATAGTTGACTTGGAACTGTTGAGAAAGCAACTCATTCTTGTCCTTAGAAAATGTCCCCTACAAGAAAATAGACGGTTAAAGAGACGAAAAATACAAATGCTACAAAAAGACACCTCTAACCCTAGATAATTCAGATGACCTTCAATGTCTGTTGTGCCTCTTTTTCAGTTTTTCCAGACTTCACCAACATCCAGAAGCATGTATTATAATGATTATTTATATGACCTGAAAGGCACACACAAAATTAAATATGTAATTTTCACCCATTAATTAAAACTAGATAACACCCTGCGCGTTGCTGCGGAAATTTATAGCATGAAATTAGAATATATGAGAATAATACCGCACCACATTTTTGCCATATGAATAGTAGCAAACCTAGAGGTAAATAGAGGGTGGATGCATGTTATATTGCCTTGTGGCATTCAAGTTCAATTATTTGTTGCTGAAAAAAACACAAAATAAATTGATGACGTGGAGGGCTTGCATGTGCTTGATGAGGGCTTGCATGTGGTGGGAAACGGAAGAAAGTGAAAGGGTTGCTTGATCATGTGGATGGCTTGCATGTGCATTTAAATGGGATCACTTACTTAAGTAGCGAAGCAACCGGACATAGAAATCTCACTGAAGTGACACATACATACACCATATTCTTATGTTTAGTTAATGTTGCTGAAGCTTCATAGTTTCAACAACTTTTGGTAAATAACATACATGACATGATTTTATTGTTTTTGAGTGGAAACATGATTTTATTGTAGAGAACATCAACACACATAACTGCACAATATAAGAATATGATTATTTTTCTAGAAAAATGTTGACTGTAGTTTAAGAAGCTTACAGTCCACTTGCCTCCATGCCAAATAATCATGAATGGTTTTCATATTTGGATAGCATACAACTCGCCCATCAAAATAAGGAGGCTCCCTCAAATCTTTATTAGGAAAGAAATCTTTCCACTTCATCACGTACACAGATGTGAAGTAAGAAACACATAAAGACAGAATTTTGCTGCAGGTATTGGTAGAGAGTCAATAAGATGATGAGATTTTATAATAGAATAGTTCAAACCATTCTGGGCATGGCAGTATCCTAATAGTGAAGGAGTGAACAGACCAAATAAGGTAGGTACCTTTCTCGCCTTTGATAGAATTCTGTTTCCTCTCTGAAAACAAAACTGCAAAGCAAACAGAAAGATAACACACTTAGATTATTATCCAAAGAATGAACAGAAGTCTTTCAAACAGGAAGAACGGGACCTGCACAATTAAAAAAAGAATGTGCATTCACAACGGTATTTGCATATAATTTTTTTTGGCGCCAAATCTGCATACAATTTTGTAATTCTAACTTCGATGTTATACCTGTACTCGTCGCTAACACCATAAGCAAACACTATATCAGGGAACTTCTCAAGCATAGAGGTGGCACAAGCATTCATCAATCTTAAAGCATTATCATCATTTGGTTTCTCAAAGGCATGTATCTTCGAGAATCTAACAAAAAGAAAACTGAAATTAGTGGACACTGGAAAAAAACAACAAAGATAAATATTTTTAATCTGGAGCAACAGTGATCCCCATATTTGCATAATGTAAACTTATTTGCATGTTTCCCATATGTTTATCATCACAAAAAACCCTCAAGCAAGAGATATTGGTGCATGAACTAGACCAAGAATTAAGATGACAAGATGGTCGATGCAGTTGCTTGACCACTAGTGACCATATCAGTGTACAGCTAGGAAGTGAGCAAAGTACAATGAGAGCAACCAGTCAAGGTTTAGAGACTATCAGCTATAATAGAAAGCAGCAATCACTTAACAGGGTTGCGGAAAAAATTAAGAAACGTACATATAAACTGGTTTTCTATTACCCTGGGGAAGAGATGAACTATACCGGTGAAAATGGCAGCCGTCGATGCGGACAACAATCCAGTTGGAGGCCGGGAGGCGGCGGTCGAACTCAAATTCCCTCTTCACATACTCATACTCACTGTTGGCCATCACCCGACACTACAAGAAACGTGTTCTTGGAGCTGCACCTAGAGAAAATCATATAGTAAAGTGGCGGTATAGATTTTTGAACTTGAGTGAAATCTGCATTTGGCTGCCGGTTTGTGTACATTTGCTATCATAAACTAGCTAAGTGCCCTGGTGACATTGTGAAAGTAGGACTGTGCTAGTGAAGTTGAAATTACTACTGTCAAACACCCATCCTACCGATACAGGAAGGGACATCGGCGAATTGACGGTAGGAATCAGCAATAGGACATTGCAATGCTTTTGCCCTTTCTGTTTGAATGCTGAGCGTTGAACTTCCGTTGCTTCGTTATTGGTTACATACAGTAGTCGTGCGGGCGCATGGAAAAAGAACAGGACATTGCAATTTGGCATGTAGACGTACCTAACCGTGTCCACCTTGCCGAGGCAGTGGAGGCCGGCGGCCGGCGGCCGGTCTAGAGCACTTCGAATCTGGAGTCTGGAGTCGGTGTCCGTGCCGGCCACTGACCGCTGGTCTTGGATCGATTCAGAGAGAGAGGCGGGAGGGGCAGGAACTCTATAGCTGCTGCGGGAGGGCGGAGAACGATGGCAACCGCCGGAGAGGAGCCGCGACGGGCGAGGCGCGCGCCGGCAGCCGAAGAAAGCGGAGAGGCCGGCGGCGGTGGTCGGCAATGTCAGGAGGACCCTACTATCTGAACTTGTGCAGTCCTTTTTATCCGAGTCTCAGAAACAGAAGAGAAGGGCCGCTTGCACTCATCAGGCCGCAGTCTGGCTGGGCCGTGGGCTGGGCTTGCAGGTGGTGGCGGTCTGTTGCAGCTTCGCAGACAAAGCGGAGAGAGAGAGAGGGAGGAGCCACGGCACCTCAGTTCGGCGCCCAGCCAGGTTAAGGTTTGGGAGGGCGGCAACGCAAACCCATCTCCCCCAAATCCATCCCGCTGCTGGTCCTGGTGCCGGTGGGATGAAGATTGACGATCCCCTCGACTTCGAGGGGGATAACGACCCCCTCCTCACCGTCCGCCGCCCCGCTAAGAGGTACTCCCGCGCCGCCGTCCCTTTCCTCCCCCATTCGAATCCATTCCAGTCTCGTTCTCGATTTCCGCCGATAGGTTTCTGCGGCAGGGACACGTGGATGGCGAGTTTCGATTAGATTTGATTTCGTATGAACATGGCGCACTTGCTCAGGTTTTCAGCTGTATGGACGTGGGGCGTTTCCTTCTACTGGTGATTTTAGGGCTTACCACTTTTATTAGAGGCTGATGCTATCAAATGAGAATTTCCATGATTGAGTATGTTGGTATCGATTGACCCATCCGTCGCGGTGTTAGAAGGATGGCACCAGTAGCAGTAGCATCAGAGGCAGCAGCCTGTATCATCGAAGCAACTAGTAGTGCTAGGAAAATCTCTATCCACAGAAAAGGAAATGATGGACTAAGCTTGAGAAAATATGTCTTGTGAATACATAAAAGGAAATGATCAGTACCGGATGATCAACCGGTCGCGCCGCTTTTTAGTAGCACTCGCATTAGAGGCAGCAACCTGTAAGGTCAATGGAAAATCTCTAGACACAGGAAAGAAAGGATGAACTAATAAGCTTGATAAAACGCAAAATTGGATGTATTGTGAACAAATACAGGGCCCAACTATTTTGTGGTGTGCTCGCAGAGCAAAAGCTTGTTTAATGTGTCTTTATCTGGGAGAATGCTTGGTGGAATTTTACCACCGGAGTCATCTGGCCCCCGTGGCGTGCAATTCGGGTTTAGCCTATCAATGATACGGTCATTCTAGCGATTTAGCAATCATTGATCAAAGTCAGTGTCCATTGCAGGAAGAAGGTTATTGGGCTGGATGATCTCGTAGAAGATTACTTTAATTCCGGTAAGGATGAGCTCAAAGCTTCTGCTGCTGCTAAGTCTAAGGGTCGCCCCAAAGGAGACAATTCAGACGATGAAGACAAGCAGGTCAGGGAGAAGGAGATTGACTTCTGCAAATTTGTGGAGGAGTGTGAGGAGAAGGTAATTGTCAAATAAGCCATATGTCCTTATAGATTGCACCTGTTTTTCTTTAATATATATCTTACTTTACTTAAAGGCGAAAGCGATGGATCCTGGAGAGGATGTACCCCAATGGGGCCAGCAAGTTTTCGGCTGTCAGGTTAAATGGCCCTAAATTTGTTCAGTTTATCTTCAATGCTAGGTTCTGTTTTTTATTTTTCTAGTTTCTACTACTAAAGTATCTTCATTAACTGTACTTGCAGAAATCACCCTCAGTTCTTAATGGCACGGGAGTTGAAAATTGCCAACTTTTGCAATCATTCTGTGGAGATGAGCAGTTAGGTTTTGATCTAGAAATTGAACGAGGTTAGTTTTGTTATGCGCGTGTAATTCTCGTATTTGACTAAAAGTAGACACTATTGCTTTACTTGTATTTGATTTATCCCTTCTGTTTCGCATTGTGCCACCATGACTGGTTATTTTTTTTTTGTATCTAGTTATGTTTGCTTTCAGGATTTGGTTTTTCCTCTTGCAGATAATGTAAGCAACTTCTTAATGTTATTTATGCAGGAGAGGGCTTTTTAGAAGGCATGCTGATCAATGGATGGCTTTTGAAGTTGGTACTCCTATATGGTTCTGTTGAAGACTCTATAGCATCAGGGGTGCTAACCAAGTGTAAGGATCTATGCTTAGCTCAGTTCAAAATTGCTCTTTTAGATTGCCTTGTATGCTTACCACCATTAGCCACCAGTGCTGTACTCATCCAATAAGAAGTTGCAAGATTCTGCATCTGAATTTTGGGATAGTCTCCTTTCCCTAAATGAGGTAACTGCATAATCAGTTTTCTTTTGTGTTTTTGTGTTCTGCCTTTGGCCTCTGTACATAACTTCAGATTGATTGCAGGATGATAAACCATTGGTAAACTTTGGATACTTTCCAAGCTACTCTATTCTTATGGGTGCTATACTCAACTATGGATACCTACATGATGCTCCTTGCACTAAAACTTGCACCTCTGAAATTGCGGTTGCAGGTTGGTTCCATACATAATTTTCTTCCTTTCTTAATCAGTTATCAATTATGCACGACACATTTGATTTTGAGTCTTTAATTTCATACTTGTGATGGTGAACATTGTGGAAATTCCATCTCCATTTCTTAACTAATTTTTCATTCATGACCAGACACTTCGGATGGTGGTCCACCTCAAAACATCACTGCATGGTTAAGAGTTGTATCTGCTTGCTGCAAAATTAGGTAACTGGATTGTCTGATACAGAGTATGGCTGTTTTTTTGCTTGTGATTCACTTACAAAATCTAAGATGGAACTGCCTATGTAAAGCTATTCACTGCAACGTTCCATTTGCCTACGAAATTCAAGATTTTCACGGCATAGTTTTGCAACAGAATGTCTAGGATAATATATCTATATTTTTTGCCTGTCTTGTATTTTTTCCTGTTAAGCTTCATGCATTAGCCAACGCAACCAAAAGTCCGAACTAATGGAAAGGGCTAGACAATCCACATATACACTTCAACACCCCCTCTCACGTGTGCGTGGAAAGTCAACAGTCAACACGTGGGTGGACTCAGAGTCTCAGAGATATGGCTCAAGAGGCCTATACGTGGACACAAAGGGAGGCAGCAGCAATTTTTAGATAAATTGTGGAAGCCAGGACTTGAACTCAAGACCTTAGCTCCGATACCATGTTAAGCTTCATGAACTAGCCAACGCATCCAAAAGTCCGAACTAGTGGAAAGGGCTAGACAATCCACATATACACTTCAACACCCCCTCTCACGTATGCGTGGAAAGTCGACACGTGGGTGGACTTAGAGATATGGCTCAAGAGGCCTATACGTGGACAAAAAGGGGGGCAGCAACAATTTTTAGATAAATTGTGGAAGCCAGGACTTGAACTCAAGACCTTAGCTCCGATACCATGTTAAGCTTTATGCACTAGCCAACGCAACCAAAAGTCCGAACTAATGGAAAGGGCTAGACAATCCACATATCACTTCAACACTTCCAATCCCCAGTATGATGAGAATCTCTGCCTTGAGAATTTATCAATTGTCACTACTGTAGTCATGAAAACATGTAGGTGTACTGTTCCATAATATATAACAATGATTTATTTCTTCTGAACTGTCGTTTGTTATCGCTCATTTAATCCTTGGAGAATATTGAAACATTGTGATGTTAGCAAATATTTGAAATAGCTATATCATACATTATGTTTTAATGGTCTATTTATTTATTGTACAGAAAAATGCATGCCGTCTTCTCACCTTCGGAAGCGGAAGATGTCCTTGTTATTGTTATTTCACTCTTTTTGGACCGTCGCCTTGAAGGGCTGCTGCTTATTTTGGGAGATTGCCTAAATTCACTCATCTCGTACTTCAATACGAGTGAATGGGAAAGTAGCTGTCTGATTGTTGCTGAGTCAATTTCTAAGAGGTAAAAGGTTCAGTGATGCCTATTATAAATTTGTAGCCAATAATACTGTTTTGACCATATATCCATGTCCAATCAGAGAAATGCTGGAGTACTTAAACTGGATCCTGAATAAATAAGTGTCACACTCACTGGCAATTACTGCTTCTTGACAAGTACTGTATATCATCAATGAATCTCGTTTGCTCAATTTGTGCTAATTACTTGCATCCATGGCATGTAAAGGCAGTTGAGTTGCCTGTACATTATCAGCTCATGGTATTTATTGTGTTAAAGAAGCTTGCTCGAGTCGGTCCCATGATTTTTCCACTTAGGGTGTTTGCCTCTCTGAAGTCAGTTTCATAAAATTGTAGGGTCAAGATGGATCTTAATTGTTTAAGGCTTGTTGACTGCATTACCGGAACCAACGACCGTAGCAAATTCCTAAGGAGCCAGCTGGCCCTTCAGTTGCTCAAAAATAGCTTCTGCCTTAAAGTAAGCATGGTGAGCATGTGTTCTCTGTATGAATCGCCTTGTGGCTAGTGGCGCTGACCTGCATATCCTGCATATTTAGGTGGCGAATGTTGAAAGGATCCTGAAGTCGGTCACATCGATAAATGTGAAGGAGAAAGAATGCAATTTCTTTGTGCTATACGTGCACATAGTTTTGATGGACAACCTGCTCTTCTCTAGCGACGCGTTCAGAAACAAGACCGCGATAATCGACGCATGGCGCAATTTTCTACGCAACTGCTCGACCCATATAGGATGCACGGACTGGAGGTTCTACGCTTCGAAGGTGCCTTTTTGCTTTGTTTGAGCTGATGCATCCTTTTTTTTTCTTTCCTATATGTTGCTCATGAGCATATTGTTTGTTGGGTGCAGGTCCGGAACAAGGCGTCGTATCTCCTGCAAGGTGCAATGCTGAAAAGGCCTGCTGGCAGTGGTAGCATTCCTGCCAAGTGATTTGAACCAACCTACTGAAATGCCTGCTGCTGGAGAGCACGGAACCTACGCCCTGATTTACTAGCACAAGTAGTATGTTTAGGGTGAATTGTAGGCTCATTTTTGGGTACCTGATGGTGGCTGACAGTAGTATTCTCAGCCCATGTATAGGGTAGTCCCCAGCACTCTCAAGTCTCAACGCCGAGAATGCCACTTGATGAACTTTTTGCAGCATCGACTTCTACTGAATATACATTATGTAGATTTGCTTGTCTAATTAGCCTAATTTTGTACTCCCTCCGTTCCAAATTACTTGTCGCTGAAATGGATGTATCTAGAACTAAAATACATCTAGATACATCCATACGTGCGACAAGTAATTCGGAGCGGAGGGAGTACCTTCTAATTAGCCTAATTTTGTACTGTGGAACTCCAACAAGACGTGGCTGTCGGCTTGCAAATCGCATCGTTTTAGTGGGAAAATGGGAATCAAGTGACGCATCTGATACCCCCTTGCATTCTACTTCTACTATGGATGCTCATCGGGCACAGCTGTGGCAGAAGAAAAATGAAGACAGCGAGCCGGCCGCCGCGATGGTCGCCGGGCGGGAGTTGCTCCATGAGGTATCGGCTGACACCTGATGAACGCAGCTGCATATGCCGGTTGGATCTGGCACGCTACTTACGCCGAACTGGCCAGATTCCGAACATTGTTTTTGGCCTCGCCTGCTGGTGCACATGGGATCCGGTGGGCGGGCGGGCGGGCAGCCAGGTGTGCGTTGCCATGCCCTCCTGCTGCTCGCTGGCTACGCGCTGCATTATTGGCTCGCCATGCCCACTAGCAGACCTTGTTACGTGAACGTAAACGTATCGGCCAAAACTTATCCTGCGTTGCGTGTAGACAGTTTGTAGTGCCAGCGGCATTTTCTTCACTTCCAAATTGTGTGCTACCTCTACGTGCCATGAGCCCGGACGGGACGGAACCCCGGCTAAGAAAAGAAAGAAAGATTTGGACTCCATTTCGGTCACCCGCGACAAAATAACTCGAGCTGGCACCTTGCCTCGCCTCCAACGTGGATGGAAATTCGGTAGCGAGACTGCGAGAGTGACTAGGAATTCCATCAACCGTCCATTCTCTCATCTGGGTGCTAGATCCCTCTGGCTCTGGGGAAGCTATTTTCCTCCCTCGGTGGGCATAGGATCTCTTTGTTTTCCGAGGTACCATTTTTAAGGTCTCTTCCAATGCATAGGTGCTTACATGAGATGCTAAGTGCATTTAAAATCTCAGCAACTACTCTTTACAATGCAACGTTTCCTTCCGGAGTCACCATAATGTTCTATCTTTTCTTTAAATACTTTGTCACATCATCTTTTTACCTATATGGCATTCTTAGCACCAGTACAACGTGGAGCACTTGAAAGGTCCTAGAATTAGGCTAAATCAAAGAAAGAGCAGCAATGCCTGGATCAAAAGGGTTCGATGATTTCCACATGTTTTTATTTCAGAAATCAACCAGGGGAGAGCACTGAACAGCTACCTAAGTGTGTTTATCCATGTCGGATCTTCGGCGGAGGCGGAAGTAACAAAAATCGGAGTGTCGTATCATCATCGGGCGTAGCAGCGTGGTTTTTTCATTTTTCAAATCTTGATCATCGTCTCTCCGGTGTGTAGAAGCGTAGGTGTGGCTTGTGCCATGGAGGCCAACACGGCGGCGGGCGGCGGCCATTTAACACTCTTGTCGGACGTTGCACGCGACGGCCTGCGCCCACATGCGAATCTGGTCCTTCATCTCCGCCGCGGACCTCGCGTCCGCCTGCTGCAGCCTTATCGCCGCCGCCGCCGTGGGGGGCGCCGACCGCGCCCCGTGCTGCCACGCCTCCGACAGGTACGGCCGCCGCACGATCCCGTCGCCGCCGTCATTGCACGCGGCGTTGCTGGTGCCGATGCCGATGCCGTTGGCGTTCGCGCTCGAGTCGTCGTTGTCGCTGGTGCTGCCGGACCCGGAGACGGAGCCGGAGCTCTTGTGGGGCTTGTTGGCCTTGTCGTCGCGGAGGCCCGGGAGGACGTCCGCCAGACTCTCTCTGAGCTCCTCCTGGTCGAACACGAAACCCAGGTCCTTGAACCCCTGCACCTCGATCGACTCCAGCGCGCTCGAGCTCTTCCACATCTTGTCCTGCAAGCCGCTCTTGTCCCGGACGAGGGCCGGCTGCTGGTTCGCGCTGAACGATCGGAGGTCGCGCCGCGGCGGGCCACGCTCCGCTCTGCTGCCGCCGCCTGTCATCCTCGGCGTCCGGTCAGGCTGCAATGAAAGAAATCAGCACGTCAGTTCGTCGGACACGTAGTAGCTGAGGTCCATAGCTCAGAGCATTTCGATCGATCATCCAGTCCACGATCGGTTGATGATATGGCGATGAGGAGATGCCTATGATGCATTGGAGTTGGTACCTTGGTGGGCGTGCTCGAGCGGTAGTGCCTCTCGAGCGTGCTGTGGGAGTGCCTGAGCCTGGGCATGCTCGGCGTTGACTCGGTGACCCCGGCGGGTCGGCGGCCGTGGCCGTCACCCATGGTCGCGGACGACGTGACCGGCATGGACGGCGCCCGGTTGAGCGCCGACGACCCGCGGCCTTCCTCGGCGATCCTGGTGCGCAGGACGCCCTCGTAAATCTTGCTCCAGTTCATGTCGTCGTCCTCCACCTCGGCCTCCTGCTGATCGCCGCCACAGCCAGCGTCCTCCTCCACTATCAGCTCGTTGTCCTTGGGCGACGAGGGGTCCATCCCGATGCGAGGCGCCGGGAGCGACGGCGTCCGGAGGAGCCTCCTGGACCCGGACGCGTTCGCCCTGGCCGTCCGCCCGGACGCACCCGCACCGGCCGAGGACGTGGACGGCGACTTGGGCAGCAGCGGCGGCCTGCTCCTCCCCCTGGCGGCGTCGTCCCTGCTGCTGCCGCCGAGGGAGTTGCTGAAGAACCAGTAGTCGTCGAGCAGGTCGAGCGCCGGGGCGTCCGCCTTCTTGTTGCCCTGCCGCTGCCGGACGACGTCCGCGTCCCGCGGTGCTGACAAGAAGGAGCTCATGGCTGCCTGCGTGGCGCGGAACAAGAGATGAGATGGGGAGGAGGAAGATGCGCGCTCGCTAGGTGGCCGCTGGCTTTTTGGATTGGCCTGAGCCGTCGGCCTGGTGGGTGTGGCCTGCGGTGGCGTGGCGCGAGAGGGAGGGAGAGCGAGAGCGAGAGGGAGAGCGAGCGATTGTCTTGTCTCGTACGAGAGGGAAGAGGCGGGGGATGGACGGATGGGCGCCGCCACTTTGTTGTTTTCCCGTGTCGGGCTTGGGGTTTTGTTTGCGGTGGCCCGGCCCGGCGCGAGGTCGAGGGGCCCGCGCGCGGCGGAATTCTTTGCCCCGCCAGCCACTTGGGGGCCCCGGGCGACACGTCGGTCTGATGATTGCGTTCCGCACATGACTGATTGGGGTTGGGGGGACTCATAATTGTGATTGCTCTCTCTGTCTCTATCTTGTGCGCAGTCAGATCCCCTGTGATTAGGGGCCGCCAATTGTTACTCTATTGTTACTTAGGCTGGTTGTAATGGGGAGTATCATATACTAGTATCATGCATATGATACTAGTGTATGATACTACTCCCTCCTTCCATCTATATAGGGCCTAATGCGTTTTTCGAGGCTAACTTTGACCAAATACTAGAACAATAATATATGACATGCAACTTACACAAGGCACACCGTTAAATTCGTGTGTGAAAGGAGCTTTCAATGATATAATTTTCACATTGTGCATGTCATGTACTACTAATCTTGTCAATAGTCAAAGTCAGTCTTAAAAAACGCATTAGGCCCTATATAGATGGAAGGAGGGAGTACCTCCCTAATGCATAGTATCATATATTAGTATCATGTAGTACTATATTTATTGCCATGCATGACACAAAGTAGTATAGCATTTAATACGATACGGTATCATGATATGATACTACACCCTCTCTTTCTTCATTTAATGTTACGACACCTCATCAAAATTGCCTAGTTGGCATGCATGATACTAGCTATGATACTACCATTACAACCAGCCTTAACCGGGAAGAACCTACTCTAATTGCGTAGTACGTATTCTCGAAGGATACAGGGAGTAGAGAAATGATCGTGGAAATTTCGCGGTTGACTTTGACCACGGGAAGTTGAGAAGTTTCGACATGAATGGAAAACATGGGTGAAATAAAACATTGAAAGTTAACATCACACGACATTGTTAAATTGGTTGAAAACGCGTAAACACATTATAGAGAGAGCTCGTATTTACACACACCTGGCTTTACAACCCAATAGGTATATGGTGATTGTATTAAGTGCAAATCCCCTTCTTGACAGTAACACTCAACCTCCCTCCATGGGGCATTCTGCCCAATTTCAAATGTGAAACTGTTGCTCGTTGATTGCTCTTTCAATTCTTTAACATAAATTGCTCGTTGCTTGTTGGCAAAGAAAAACGCTGCATACAACCCAAATCGCAGTCATGCACGAATGTCACCGTTGCACTGCATGTTGCATGATCTGACATGCTCGCATCATTCTTCTTAGTTTCTGTTCAAAGAGGAGAACCAGTCGATTTCATTCATTTAAATTGTTTTTTGTTGCTGTTTTTCATTTTGTACCTTAGTTGTAAAAAGAGGAATTGAATTGAATACAACCCAAATCAAGGAATCAAATTTCTTAGTTGTAAAAAGATGAAGTAACCTTTTGTGTTTGCGCCTCCCATTGTGCCATGCCGTGATACTTTTTGTGACCCTAGGGCTATGTTTATGCCCTAGTAGTAAAACCTCCGGATTCACAATGTTTTTATAAAGCATTTTGCAAATGCCGTAATTTTGCTATAGTTGTGGCCTAGTAGTGAAATCTTAGTATTTTCATGCCATGTTACTTTTTGTCATCCTAGGAATATTTGTGTTGTGTGTTACTCAGTACTATGCCATATGTGTATTGTATCGGGGTGGGCGAAAATGTATATCTGTCAAA